GAGAGAGAGAGAGAGGGGGGGAGGGAGAGAAAGAGAGAGAGAGCGCGAACCGTTGTGGGTAGGCCTTCGGGCCGGGGGGTTTCGGTCTCCACACCCCTAGAAAGCAAGCAAGAGTGAGCGTGAGTGAACGAACGACTGCGTGAGTGGGTGTGGGTGAGTGCGTGAGAGAGTGAGTGCGAGAGGGAAGGGCCTCAGGATTGGCGAAGGAGTGCTCCATTGCCTGAGGCTATCGGCACTCACCCTGCGTTCTTTGAGATCCCCTAAACCTTGAATATCACAACGCCCCCTTGAAGAACAAAGTCTGTGACAGCACCCTTATGCCCAATGAAAAGATATAGAGGGAGAGAGGGCCTTCGGGCATTAGGGTTCTAAAGGTTTGTCTAGGGCTTCGTGGCGTTTCTGGAGTTCGCCTTGTAATTCGTCGTGCTTGCGCTTGAACCCTACACCCTGAATCGTGATTCTGCACGGTCACACATAATGTACCTGAGGCATCCCGCCTCGCAGCGAATTGTTATGGCCTCTTTTGCTCTTACATTTCCCCGTCGAATGTGTGATCATATGTAGCTCTAAGTCAAGCAAGTGTTTGTCCACAGGCCGGAGGCCATGTAAGGTGTGAAGTGCGTCCCTCTGTTGCAATGCACCCCCGACAAAGCCAGAGCAACTCAACAGATAGTGAAGCCTTAACCCAGACCTGAAACCGTAAACCTAAACCCTAGACCCTATCTGTTATTCTATCTAGCTAGCTAGCTATACTTTTTTTTTTTCTCTCTCTCTCTCTATCTATCTGTATATGTATATATATATATATATAACACATAACCATCCCTCGATAAATCATACACCCAGCCAGCTCCCTGTATAAATCCGGCCTATGACCATTGCGAGGCCCATAGTAGAGCGGTGGCAGCAAGCACTGCAGAGCCCCCAAGAGGACCTGGCGAAGGAACGGGGCTTAGGGTTTAGGGTCTAGGGTTTGGGGTTTAGGGTTTAGGGTTTAGGGTCTAGGGTTTAGGTTTTAGGGTCTGCTCAGAGGCTGGAAGCACTGTCACGAGTACAGGGCTAGCTGGCGGACGAGTGGCTAACCACCCGAGGCGTTCTGGCTTGCAAGCCTTCAGCAAAAGGGTTTAGGGTATGAGGTTTATGTGGGGCACAGTGCAGAAAGAGGACACCAAATGCTTCAGGGTGTATTTGCTCGGTTTCAGCCACGTGTGAAAAAACGAAGCATAAGTTGATCCAATGCGACCGCAGGCAAATGCTGTAGCCAGGAGGAGAGGGCTGCCTGCAGGTCGTAAGCTGGGAGTTTCCGAAAAGAAGGGGTACGGTCCTTATAATAAGGATCCTACTAGTACTATTTAGGGTACTAGATTAGGGTCCTATTTTCGGAAACCCCCATCTAGCACAAGAAAAGGAGTGCATAGAACAAAGAAAACCAAGATTGGCAGCGGGAGAAGGGAGAGGACGGGGAGTACAGGGGGCGGTCATGGGAACCAAACACGAAGTCAGAGACTTGCGATGTACTGTAACCGAGAGATCGCCAGCCCCTGACATGAGATGTTCCCCTAAACCCTAAACCCTAAGCCCTAAGCCCTAAACCCTAAAACCTAAACCGTAAGTCCCGGCGTCGAGGAGTTGAAGGCTTCGGGATGTAGGGCCTAGGAGTCTGGGGCACTTAGGGAGTCCAAGACTTCGATGGATGCTTGCAAGGGATACCCAGAGAGCCCAACACCCCTTAGTTAAGGAATGTACCGTATTAAACCATAATATTGAGGCCCCTATAATTTCAGGTATATTCCTTATTTAAGGAATATAGCTTAAATCATAATATGAAAGCCCCTATAATTTAAGGTATATTCCTTATTTAAGGAGTATTGGCCTCTCTGGGGATAGATGCCCAAGCCCGAAGAAGCTTTTGCAGGCGGTCGTCACAGGACCGGCCGCTTTTCCAGCCTCCCTCAGCGCGAAGCTCTGCAAGCGCTTTGGAAAGCAAAGGTGCCTACTAGGAGGTTCATGGGTAGTTATAAGTAGGGTTATAAGTCCCCTAATGTGGGTTATAATTATAGTTAGCTTACTTATAACTCCACTTACAAAAAGCTTTGGAAAGCAAAGGGGCGTGTGCATTAAACCCTACAGCAGATTCCAGAAAGTTGGAACATGGCTTTAGGAGGATTAGTGCTAGGATCCCTTATACTTTACCTCAAGGGCATTAGGATAGTCATGTTCCAACTTTCTGGCTCTTACTATAAACCCTGGAAGTTATCAACCGGCCCTTCAGAGAGTGGCAGACATGACATCATGACATCAAGTGCATCGACAACTTTGACAAGCAGCGGTTATGATGAAGTTTCACTTGAGGGAGACCTCGAGCCGCATGCCTCGCCTGGAGTTTCCGAGTGTGAGCGCCGAAACCCTAAACCCCATACCGCACCAATCTTTCGCCTTTTACCAAAGGTTG